CTGGACTTTGCAGAATTTTGTGGAAACCATCATCAGCTTTATTAAGAGAGATAGATTGATGGCCAATGCTTAGCTCAGCTTAGCAAGATAAACCATACAGCTATTCTGCTTGAAGCTCTCTATAAAGTCTCATGAATATGAGCACTGTACAGTGGGATGTAGAACTCATGTTAGAACAATGATTCTCAGCAAGACACGTGTGTTTAATGAAACATCTACAGTTCTTGGACTAATCTCTGAATATTCTGCAGTCACCACATCTTAAAGACTTGAGTCACTTCTAGTTACTTGGCAAAATACCATAATACTATAAAATTTACAATATGCACTGTGACCACAACAAAAGAGCACCAATTGAGCAGATAGAAAATCACTGTATCTGCTGGATCTGACACCAAATAAAACACATGCACACATACCTCAAAGGATTCTATATCAGCTGTGCAGCAGCCAGTTCCATTGCTTAAACCTTCTTCCATGGGAAAATGATTTTTTTAAATGACAGTTTACAAAGCTAATACAGAACAACTTATGATAGCATGTTGCAGGAAAAGGGGAGATCAAAGGTAGGAGAAAAGATACGTATTTGTTTTGTTGTTGTTTTTAAACTCATCTGCCTCGTTTCCCTATCCCTACATATTCTTTTTTACCTTGGGCTACTGAAAAGCACTAGTTTAATCAATTTCTTGTTCAAATCTCAGAACCAGGGAAGAAGGTGCACAAAGCCCATAGGGCAATAGTTTCTCTTTTACCTATTACAGCAGTTGACACTTAAATCCATACTTTATCACCTAAATAGCAATGGCCTGATCTTCACAATTGCTGAGCTTCTACCACCTTCAACTGTGGCATGCTGAGCGTACTCACCATTTACATCAGAACACTTATCAAGGACATAATTGTAGGCACTTAACTTAAAAACCCTAGACCTAGATTTCCAAATATTTTATGGTCATCATATTCTTAAAAAAAATGTGAAGGGCAAGGATTTCTTAGGGTGATATCATTTATTGAACCCACTATACAGTTGGCATAGGGCAAGACAAACTTTTGAATGCAAGACTTGCATTTGAAAGCTTGTCAAATTCTATCCCAACTGTACAGTTGATCCAGTAAAATATATTACCCTAAGAAATCCTTGCCTCTCAATTTCTGGACCATCATGACTACATCACTCTTATACAACCTTAAAAACTTTTAGCCACAGGATCTCCCCTTTCCCCCTACTCCCTATGGTTGATGACGTCAACATCTCCTCAGGAGATAAATATTCTTACTCTAGATGGTTAGATGCATGCAATTTCTAAAAGTCTGATGAGAATGTTTTTTTTCTTCAGTTTAGTCAACTGTTATTCCCTTCTCAACACAAAAATGTCACCCAAACTTATTAGAAACCAGGGTTAATATTTTCACTTTGTGTGCTACTCCAAAGCCAGGTCCTTCGCAGCTGGCAGTAGAGCAGTTGGTTTGCTTTTTGTTTTTACTTAATCTACTTATCAAAAAGGAAAATATATATTTTTCCCCGGGGGGTATGACAAACTGGTATGAGACTGCTGGGCAAACCCATTGGCGGGACCACTACTCGACTTTTAGCTTCCTTGATTTCTTGGAGTCTCAGAATAGCAGAGACTCCCAATGCCTGAAGAAGGGTGATTGTACCCAAAAGCTTGCCAAGAACTTTTTTCCAACTACTCAGTTGGTCTAATAAAGGAGATCACATTTACTCAAAGAACGCTGCCTGCCTAGTTTTTATGACAGGATTTGGCATTCATTTGATTATTCAGAGAAGCACATGACATATTTCTGAATGAAGCTCGATCAGTTGTTACCTAGTATATAATAGTTCCTAAGCAAGAAATAAGTTGTAAAACAACAAGAAATGTTACATATAATTCTACACAGCAATAAACTGCGAATGGCACTCTAAACAAAAGTAATAATTGCCTATAGATCTGCCTATAAAGTTCATATTGATGGTTTATTATGTGTAAAGAAAGGGAATTATTTTACACTGGTTGGCATGGTGCTAAACTGCAGCTGGAATATTGTATTCAAATTTGATAATCCCATTGATTCTAGAGGAGGGACAGAGACAGAGGAAGTTAAAAAAAAAACACAGAAAAGAACAGGAGGTCTGAAAAACACAACTTTTGAGGAAGGATGAAGAGATCTGAGCATGAAGAACCCACAAAGAAGGCGAAAGAATCGTCTCAAAATATGTACTATCATATCAGATGGAGTACAGCAGGGGGTACTTGGGAAGGCCCTAGGGGGCATGCACAGGTGGGGATGGAGCACTGCCACCCACCACCCCACGCTGCCGCCTCCCAGAAGCAGGGCCGGGTCACAGCAAGGGCAGCAGCACCTCTGTGCGGGCCACACAGGTGCCGCCCAGCCAGTCTGACATGGTGGGGAAGCCGGCACGCGGTGGCAGCCAGTGCCGCCATCCACCACCCCATGCCGCCACTCCACATTTGGCCATGTGCCCCCCCTGTCCAGCCACGCACCACAGCCCCACTCCTGCTCTGTGTCTGGCCACCAGGAATTGAAAACCCCTGGAGTAGAGGGATCATTTGGTCTCAGTTTGAAGCAGAAGTAATAATGGCGCAGCAAAAAATATATAATGGTAAAAACAGACTGCCAAAATGGAATAATTTTTAGAGGAGATATTCAGAGCTAGACTGTGCCTCTCCCTTTGGGACGATATAGGATGGAGGTATTCAACTGGCTGCAAAAGAGCCCAGTCGTTAGCTGGTGTAACTTGACACAGCTCTACCGAAGCCAATAGGCCATGGCATTTTATGCCAGTTCAGCAATTGGTACCAGATCTGTAATGATACATATAAAGCCAGTTCCTTACTTCTGTAATTTATTTTCTCTGTACACTGGCTAAGAAAACAGTTGTCAGTGCTGAGAGTTATATATCACCCACCTGAATTTGGATCTTGCTTCTCAGAACAATCCTTTTACTTGCTGTGTGACAGGGTCAAGGTCAATGTCATAGAAACAAGGCCTTGTAGGCAGTCCTGGCATGGTGCTCATCTGTGGGAACAATGAAACCAAGTTAGATTCCTGCAGATGCAAGAGGATAAGTACTCTGCGCATATATACCTTTGATGAGGTGAAGGGCTTGATTGTTCTTCATGAACTCATAACTACAACTGTAATTCTTATGTTTTGTTTCTTTAAAAAAAAAAATTAAGCCATCTGCTACTTCAATTCATTTTCTAAGACTGAGTTGATAAGCGAAAGGAAAGAAGAAAATAAAAACTCTGAAAAAATAGTTTGATAGTACACTGGCAAGAAATGAGAGTGAACTTCCTAAACAAAACAAAGGCACTGAATTTATTTTGTACTCAAGAGTATTCATCTACTTAAAGCAACGATATTGGAAAATCTGGAAAGGGTTAAGGCAGTATTATGGGAATTCAACAGCCTATCTCTTTGAATGAAACAGAACATGACAAAGAATAAGTCATGATGCCTTCACAACTTGCTACTTAATTAATAAATCAAGACGATTCACATAAATATGCATGAATTATTGGTGAATCCAGTTCATCATTTAGGGACCTTCCAACCTCTAGAACTTCATTTTTCACAAGTGTTCTGAATACCAAGAAGTCACAGAGCTGCAGTGACATTTCCAGCAGGACCACCAACCCCAATCTATTTACACAAGCATAAAGCTGCAAAAGCAAACTCATTTAAAATAATTCAGTATTAAAGCCATTCTGCATAGCTTTATCTTTAAAAATACAAGCTGTCCCAATGATTTAAAAACATATGATTATCTCCAATTTCAAACAAATTATTAATTTTGTGTTTATTTTTACCTTAGTGACACCTTTCAAACATACCTAAGGGTCTTAAAAGCTGTCAGTCCTACTTTCAAAATGATTTAGTTTTTTAGGACCCCAAAGTCGCTTCTGAAAATGGGGCCTAGGAATCTAAGGGTGTGGACAGATCATAGAAACTTAGGGTTGGAAGGGACCTCAAGAGGTCTAGCCCAGTTCTGGGCTCAATGCAGAACTGTCCCCAACTAGATCATCCCAAAGCTTTGTCTACCCAGGTTTTGAAAACCTCCAAGGATGGAGCTTCCACCACCTCTCTGGGTAACTTGCTCCAGTGTTTTACTACCCTCCTAGTGAGAAAATTCTTCCTCGTATCTAACTTAACCTTCCCTTGCTGCAACTTGAAACCACTACTCCTCATTCTGTCAAGTGAACCACTGAGAACAGTCCAGCTCCATCCTCTTTTGAACTCCCCTGCAGTTAGCTGAAGGCTGGTATTAAACCCTGCCTCAGTCTCCTCTTCTCTAAACTAAATAAATCCAGCTTCCTCAGTCTTTCCTCATAAGTCATGTCCCCGCAGCCCCCTCACCATTTTTGTTGCCCTCTGCTGGACTCTCCCCAATTTGTCCACATCCCTTCTGTAGTGGGGGGCCCAAAACTGAACACACTACTCCAGATGTGGCCTCACCAGTGCTAAATAGAGGGGAAGAATCACTTCCCTTGACCTATGGGCAACACACCTACCAATGCAGCCCAGCATGCCATTAGCCTTCTGGGCAACAAAGGCACACTGTTGGCTCATATTCAGCTTACTGTCCACTGTAACCCCTAGGTCCTTTTCTGCAGAGCTGCTGCTTAGCCAGTCAGCCCCCAGCCTGTACTGGTGCATGGGACTGTTCCATCCTAAGTGCAGGACTTTGCACGTGTCCTTGTTGAACCTCATGAGACTCCTTTTAGCCCACTCCTCCAATTTGTCTAGGTCACTCTGAATGTAACATCTGAAGTGCTTCAAAGACTGAGCAGACAGATGTACACGCTCAGTGCTTCAAAATGAAGTGTTTCCTGTTATGTGTGCATGCTCTGTGGAAGTTGGCAAGGGTGGGCTCATTCATCCAGCATCCCACAGTACTCTGCTCTCTACCCTGCCTCACACTGAGGTGATACAACAGAATGTCAGCAACTGTCAGAGGCAGATTAAGGTTTATTGGGGCCCTGGGCAAACAAAATTGGAGGCTATAGTGGGGCAGGAAGGTCCCCACCTGGTGCTAGCAGGGGAGGCTGGGTGGATCCTGCTGGGCTGGGGGGCACATGCCCACCTCTTCCCCTGCTCCCCTTTCCTGCTGAAACACACTCACTGCACACAGACACAGACACAAACTCCCTCTCCCTGCCATGGACATACAGACAGACATCCACATTCTACTCTCACTCACTGCACATGGATACACAGACACAAAGACACACTGCCTGCCATGCGCGCACACCACACACACACACACACACACACACACACACACACACACACACACAGAGACATTCCCATTAGAGGACTTGCCCCCTCCTCTTCTCTCAGCTGATCCCTCTGAGGATGTTTCTCCTCCCTGCTGTGCTGCAACCCCAGCCCAGAGGCTTCCCTAAGATGAGGCGGTGGGGAGCAGAGCCTGGGGTACAGGGGCACGGCAGCAGGGGCAGCACTGCCTTCTTCAGCTCCTTCTCCAGTGTGGCCAGATGTGCCTGCAGCCTGGCGCCGTGGTCATGCAGCACTGGGCACTGGTTTGGTGCTTGCCATGGGTCAGCACCAAGCCACAGCCATGCTCGCATGGCCCCATAGCCCATGCCTTGCAGTGCTCCCGCCCCAGCCCTGGGTCCCCCAGCAGCAGCCCAACCCCTGCCCCACTCCCTCCCTCACTGTGTGGGCCTTGATCTGTGCCCCCCATGCCCCTGCCCCCCCATTAGACTTACTTGCAGAGGCGACACCCACCTGTGTTCCAGGCCATGCCCTAAGTAGGACCCCTTGCAGGCTAGACTTCTGCCCACCTGCAAGGGGAAACCCTGTCATCCAGGGGCCCCTTATTTGCAGAGGCCCCTGGCCCCACTGGCCTGTGCACTGATCCACCTCTGGTGAGCATTCTTCTGTGTGCTCTGCCTCCACTGTTTCAGAGTGCCCTCTCCCCCAAACAGAACTGGAAGAGGCACAAGGGGTTCAAGCCTTTCAGTCTTCTGATTCTGGCAGGAGGTGGGGCTATGGGAAATGTGAAGCAAAGTACCCAGAAGAGCATATACTAAACACTGGCTCCATTCCCCTCACCCTGTGTGTTGGAGGGTGGTGGGGGTAGAGGAGCAAGATGTAGCAGCCCCATGTTGCACCCCCTGGCTGGAAAGCATGCCAGTACACGCAGCCCTGGGGATTTTGAAGCGTTCCAGCTTAGGGGCGGGGGAGGATGACCGCTCTATGGTCAGCCACAGATGAAGTGCTTCTTTCTTGAAACACTTTAAATGTTATACCCGTCCCTGCTCTCAGTCACTTAAAACGTAAAATTCTTAATAATTGAATTAATAGGGTTATAACAACAGCAACAACAGCTTTATTGAGCTAAGTGCTGTACAATTGTACAAGTAGTTGGGACCAGCAAGGTCAGTAAACCTGCTCATATGTTTGCTTGGATAAGACGTTTTTCCCCTTAAACCTTTGAGGAGGAGAAAGAAACCTGGGGTAAATATGCATAGCTCTGCTAAAGCCAATCATCTATCTGGCTCCAAAGGTCTCATTTTAAACTATATGTAGCTATCTTCCAGGGGAAACAATGTTTTATCTTGCCAAAGTAAGAACTGCACCAGGGGTCTCAAAAATTGAAAACACATGTTTGCTATTTTAGACCTGGTAAAAAAGCAAATTCTGGCTGATGTAGTTCTTAATTCTTACTATGTCAAGTACCACATTTACTTGAATAAGACAACCCTGAATATAAGACAACCCCTGATAATTAGATTCTATATATGGAAAATGTTCTGCCTTAAGTTTGTTCCCTCACACTGCTACTACAGGAAAATTAAATCGGGGGGGGGGGGGGGGGGGGGGGGGGG